AATAATTAAAAAATAAATAAATAAAATTAAGTCAGGTGGCTCATGACTGTAATCCCTGCTTTGGGAGGTTGAGGCAGAAGGATTGCTTGAGGACTGGAGTTTGAGGCCAGGCTAGCCTATGTAGCAAGACCCTTTATATACAATAAATAAAATAAAATACATTTTTTTAAAAAAAGAATATTTCATGGCAAGTGCAAAGTGAATGGAGTCCAATTTTTCCAGGGCTAAGTTTTATTGGCATTCAGCCAAGCCCATTTGTGGATGTTGTGAAGTTGTTTATGACTGTTTTCATGGTATAATAGCAGAGTTGAGTTTGGGCCTTTTGCTGAGGATATTTACTGTCTGGCCCTTGATGACAAAAGTTGAACAAGCTTCACCTTAACCCTTGGTTTCCTGGCCTATTGCATGAGGCTAATGGCACCTAAACCATGGGTTGTTGGAGTTTTCTGTGAATGATCTGGGCCAGGTACTCAGGAAAGTCAGTTTTTATCTCTGCCCCTGTTTCCTTATTCATATAGCACTATGGTTTTATAAAATTCTGCGACTCTCAAAATGGCTAGGGTGCCCTACTCCGAAAGTACTTTATTGCCTTGATGTCGTCTCAGAGCTGCCTCGATGTCTTCTCAGAGCTGGGCCCTGACTGTGATGTCCCTGCTTGGGGTGGACACTCCCAGTCCAAACTTAGCCGGCCTCCTGCTGTCTTCCAGGAGCTGCACCTCTGCGTCTCCCGCAAGCATTATGCTCTGGAGCGAGGCTGCAGGCTGCGCGGGCTGTCGCCAGGGAACTACAGCGTGCGAGTCAGGGCCACCTCCCTGGCGGGCAATGGTTCCTGGACAGAAGCCACCCATTTCTACATGACAGACTATCGTAAGTCTCCTCAGCAGTTTTGACTGATCGGGGATGTACTTGGCACTGGCCATGGTAGAACATTGTAGAGATGAACTGGGGAAGCTACAGGTGGCCCTGGACTCCTGGGCCCACTGCACAGTGCTGTGTGGGTGGGGCAGGATGCTTGCTCACTCTGAGCCTGCACTTGCTCATCTGTATGTATATGGAGATAGTAATTGGACCCACTGCAGAAGGTGGAGGGAGATTTCAGTGCTGGCACAGGGCACCTCTGATGAACACATTAGTTTCTGTTACTAACATCTCCTTCTTTGCTATTAGAATTTTTCTTTTGCTAAAGGTAACATTGGCGTTGGGACTAGCTATGTAATAATTTGCAGGGCACAGCGCCAAATAAAAATAAAGAGCACCTTGCTTGAAAATGATTAAGAATTTTGAGGGAACAGCATGGCATTAAATTGTGTGACCGCCTGGGTTGCATGCCTGTGAAGCCAGCCCAGGGTGGGGACGTGAGAAGGCTGCCTGTGGGCAGTGGTCTGGGGAGGTGGGCTACAGTGTGCTTCCAGAATGCAGAGCCAAATGACATTTTGCAGCTGTTGGAAAATAAGGATCCAGGAGACTAGCCCACTGTTTTAGGCATGGATTTGACTTTTGCTGTGGGCTTTGAGGTGAAAGCATTTTTATATAAAACATATATATTTTCTTTTTCTATTTCAGTAGATGTCCCATCAAATATTGCAAAAATTATCATTGGCCCCCTTATCTTTGTCTTTCTCTTCAGTATTGTGATTGGAAGTATTTATATATTCCTGAGAAAAAGGTGAGTACAGTGGTGTGCTGGTAAATGGTTAACAACCAGCTCTCTGGGGAAAAAGTATGTCTAGATATAAGTATAGGTATATTTGAGTTCATTATAAATTTTACTGATAGAGGATGTGTAACATGCAATTTAGGGGTAATAAGATGATACAATATGCAGTAATCTTTACATTAAATCCACTCTTACTAGCCAGTTGATTCTCACTGAATGCTTTTGTTGATTTTTTCCCCTCAAACCTTTTATCCATGATCAACCTATGGATGCAATTGATGAATGAGTTTACCTCTGTCGTGAATGCTGATTATGTTTCTAATTTACCTGGCAGAGTAAGACAAAAATGATATGATGTGTATTTTCATTAATGATATGAGCAACTTCTTTGCTGAATTGGATAAGAACTTTTTTTAAATGCTGTAAAAACATTTTCTTTATTTTTTTAAGTGCCATTTTCAATGTCTTCACTGCAGACATTGAAAGTTTAAACATTTAAGTTTAATTTGCACAATTAGACATTTTTCTCATCACTTTCTCAAGCCTGGACAAATGGGCAAAACAATACATCCAGTCCCAGTTTGTAGCATTTGCTGATTTCTGTGGTGCAAAGATTCCCACCATGGACTGTTTCAGCCTGTAGACTGAGATGTCACTGCGTGCAGAGCTGGCAATATGTACACAGTAGCTCACCATTATATCCGATTTCTACCATATGATACAATGTCATAGCAAATTAGATAAATAGCCTCAAACACTTTAATATTTGGTAAAATGCAGTATGAGACCTAGAGAGTGATGAGTTTCAAACATTTATTGCCTTTGCTTTTAGGATAATTTATTAATAAATTGTACATTTTTAAAGATGGTTGTATTTAGTAACCAACTGGCAAATTTCCTGAAAAGTTAACATATGTTTCTTGCTAGCTTCAGAGCAGTACTAGGTTAGTAGCTTTTAGGTGTTACATGGATGACCATAAATTGTATTAATAGCCACTCGGGGAGGGATGGTTGTTCCCATGTTGATGCATTTAAGTAGCATGTCTGACGGGCTTCCACACAAAAGGTACGTGTCCCTCGTCCCCACCTCCAGACTGCATTCAGGGCCACAGGGATGCTGCAGGGAAAGACTGCCCCTTACCTTGGGGAGCTTTGTTTGTGACTTCTTTCTGGAGGCCTGTGGAAATTCAAGCCTTGCTTATTCTCTTCCAGGCAGCCAGATGGGCCACTGGGACCACTGTACGCATCCTCAAACCCAGAGTACCTCAGTGCCAGTGATGGTGAGTATGGGATCCTCCGTGGGTGGCCACTGAGTGCTGTCTGGCTTCTGCCATCATCAGCAAGTAAGAGTGGAGGGCTACCGTCCTGGGAGGCCAGGGAGGCCAGGGAGGCCTTGCTTCATGTGAGCCACATCCAAACTTGCTGTCTCTGCTGGGAGCTGGGAAGGCATGAACCAGGAAAGAGATGGGCTTCTAGGGACACCTGTGGCATCTGCACAGGGTGGGAGTGAAGAACTGACACTCAGATTGCCCTCGATTATTCCAAAGGACAGGGAGCAACCCCTACAGAGAAAGCTCACCTGTCCCTTCAGAGGTGACAGTATTGGTTGTGTTACAAGTTTTTTTTTTTTTGCAGTTTTTGACCGGGGCTGGGTTTGAACCCACCACCTCCTGCATATGGGGCCGGCACTCAACTCCTTTGAGCCACAGGCGCTGCCCTGTGTGACAAGTTTTTAAAGTGTATCATGCATCCAGAATCACAATGTGACTTTCTGGGCACAGATATGACTGCCCAGTAGGGTGCTCTGTGCGTGCGTGCGTGTGTGGTGTGTGTGTGTGTGTGTGTGTGTGTGTGTGTAGAGGGGGTTTTCAAGCTTTGTTATAATCTGGTATGAAAAGACATGGAGACATGGAAATGACTGCCATGAGGAAGGAGTGTTATAGCCACAGATTCTTACAACCAAGGCCCAGCACACCATGCCAGTGCCTGTGAGGAAGCACCAGGTCTGTTGGGAGGCAAAGAAAGCTAGGAAAACATGATTAAGAGCCTTTTCTGTATTTTTTGCAGGAAAAGCAAGGCAAGGCAGAGGGAGTGGACATAGGATTGGCTAGTTTGAATAACTGCAATGGGCTCTAGGGTAGAGGGACTGTCCTCAGTTTGCTGCCTGATCCTGGGGAGATGGCCTGGAGTATGAGAGCCCACTAAGAAGGGCAGCTGGACATAAGAACTCTGGATTGATTTGTCTGCATTTGAAAGGTTGAGTCCTTTACCGTCTCTGGCCTAGCACCAGAGGGGCACCCATCTCTCCAGTGCCAGAGGAACCACAGAGGTCCAACCATCAGAATGAGAAGCTTGCAAGTGTGGTGATTATAGGCTGGAGCATTGATGAGGGGCCTGTTTATCTGCATGTAGAAATGGAGAAGCTGGATCTTAGGCTGCCCTTGTGTTCCAGAATAAGGAGAGAGGCATGTAGTAGGGGCTGCAGCAACAACTTCCCCACACCAAGCAGATGTGAGTCCATCTGGGTGCAGGCTCCCATCTGGTCAGACATCTCTGCATGAGTCCTGTGTGACTGCATCAGTTAGTTGTGGCTGCTGTAACAAAAAACAATAGACGTGGTGGTTGAGACAACAAACGTGTGCTTTCTCATAGTTCTAGAGCATAAAAGTCTGAATTCAAGGCATCAGCAGCGTGGTTCCTTCAGAGGCTTTTCTCTCTGGCTGACAGACACCAGTTTCCCTGTATCCTCACATGGTCATCATCCCTCTGTGCCTGTCTGTGCCCAAATCTCTTCTTCTTAAAAGGACACTAGTCCTGTTGGATCAGGGCTCACCCTAATGACCCCTTTCACTTGATTATCTCTTTAAAGGCCCTATATGTAGTATGTGGGTCATTATGAAAGTTTTGAGATACACAGAAATCAAGAAACACACCGACAAGCTGAGCAAGTTCAAACTTGCACAGGTGAATCAGAAAAGACACTGTTGACTGTGTTTCTTGGAAGTGAAATAGTGTATCCATATACAGTCACAGTTGTAGGTACCAGGGGGTTCAGATGGCAACATCTAAATTTGGTTGAGGGCCCACAATTCAGGCCATAACTGTGAGGGTGCAGAGGAAGGCAGGAAACATTTTGACCTTTCTTATGAGCCCTTCATGCATTTGTCTGAGAATCACTTGTGTGACAACCCATGTCAAATTTAGTGGCTTAAAACAGCCACCATTTATTAGCTCAGAATTTGGTGAGTTAGCTGCATTGGCTGGGTTCAGGTGGGTGGTTCTTCTGGTCTTGCCTGGACTCACTCAATGTGGCTGCATTCTGAAGAAAGAATAGCCTCAGATGGAAGATAGTATCATTCAGTTGTTAGGGTCTGAAATCACACAAGAAGGGTATAGGTGCAGGCTTAGCTTTTAGCTGGGATCCTGGACTGGTTGTGGCTCCTTCCTGAGCCTCTGCCATCTTCTCCATGGATGCTGAAAGACGCCTGTTCTGTTCTCAGCTATATGCCTAGTTCTGGGACAGGTCCTGGATTACAGGTGTCACTTAATAAATGTTTGCAAGGGTGGTTTTAGAGAGGGCTCAGGTGAAAGGTGGCTGGGGACCCCCTAAGTGATTGGCTCATAATACTATGTAGATAAGTGAAAAATAGTGTTTCCTTGTTCTGTGTATGTGCCGGACGAGTGGGAGGTGCCTCGAGAGAAGATCACCCTCCTTCGAGAGCTGGGACAGGGTTCCTTTGGCATGGTGTACGAGGGCAATGCCAGGGACATCGTCAAGGGTGAGGCGGAGACCCGAGTGGCAGTGAAGACTGTCAATGAGTCGGCCAGTCTCCGGGAGCGGATCGAGTTCCTCAATGAGGCTTCAGTTATGAAGGGTTTCACCTGTCATCATGTGGTAAGTCTGTCGGGGTTGAGGCCCTTTTCTTTGACCCCTGTCCCCTGTTGCAGACCCCTGCCTGTCCCCTACTCCACTAAGCCTTCTGTCCTAAAGATGTGTTTTGGGGGGGGTTGTCATTCCCTTCCGATTCCCTTCCCAATCCCTTCCTCTACCATCTCCTGGAACCAAGCTCTATGGATGTCACATTGCTTTCTAGAATCTTCTATTGTTTTCTGGGATTTTCTCTGTCTTCCCTCTTTCTGGCTCCTTTGTATCCCTGAACCACATGGAGATAGCCCCACTCCATCCACCCTCACTCCTGTACCCCTCCTTGATGCAAGCACATCCTGCCTTTCTGCCCCAGCAAGGGTCCCTTGTTTCTGTTTGGCCCTTGCACACTTTTATTCCTGCCATGCATGTTTGGGGGACACCTAAAGCTCTGCTCTCGTTCCCTGGGGTGGACAAGATTCCTGCCCTCATGGAGCCTCCAGCACAGCAGGTGAAGACCAGCTCCAAATCTAGCGTATTAATTACTTTATATGTTAGGAGAAAATGCTGTGGATGGATGAAAAAAGAAGAGGTGAGGAGGGTTTAAGGGTGTATTTGGGGATGTGAGGCACATGGAAGGGATTAGAGAGTCAGGCAGAGAGAACAGGGCATGCAGAGGCCTGGGGCCAGGAGCACGTGCCGTGTGCTCAGGAGCACAGAGGGCCTGGATTTGTCTTGGTGTGTTGCTGTGTGTGAGCAGCTCTGCTATTTCCCCAGAGTAGTCCAGACCATGCTGCATCCAGGCACACAGTGCTGAGTGACAAATACTGGGAAATCTCTGTGAGTCAGAATGGTCCCTTGGACCCTCACTGCAGAACCCTTACCTCTCCTCTGCAGGTCCGCCTCCTGGGGGTGGTGTCTAAGGGGCAGCCAACGTTGGTGGTGATGGAGTTGATGGCTCACGGAGACCTGAAGAGCTACCTCCGTTCTCTGCGGCCCGAGGCTGAGGTGAGCTGCCTCTAGGTTTCTGGCGGGGCACATGCTTCCCAGCCCGGGGGTGCCAGCACTGCTGAACACTACCCCATGTTTTGACTTTAGAATAACCCAGGTCGCCCTCCCCCAACCTTGCAAGAGATGATTCAGATGGCAGCGGAGATTGCCGATGGGATGGCATACCTGAATGCCAAGAAGTTTGTGCACCGGGACCTCGCTGCTAGAAACTGCATGGTTGCTCACGATTTCACTGTCAAAATTGGAGGTTGGTCTGGCTTTCTGCTTTGAAACGTATGACCCAGTTCAAGTTTGATTTCAGAAGGAGCTTTTCTATAGTGAGTTGCTAAATCTCTTCTGTTAGTGTCAAAGGGCAGGATTCTGGATTAAGATCTCCCAACTGTAATTTAATTGCATTTGTTGACAAACTCACTCACCCGTTCACTTGTTTAGAAAGTAGGCATATGCTTTATGAGTAGCAGGTGCCAGAGTTGCAGGCCTGAACCAGGCACCACTGTCTTTCTGCACATGTGCAGCTTGCTGTTTCTGTCTGCACTATATGGTGCAGTGTGGTCACATGTGGCCATTTATGTTTAATGTAACTAAAGAGTAAAAATTCAGCCCATTAAGGACGCTGGCCATGCTTTGGGCACTCAGCAGCCCCCTGAGCCTAGGGCCTACTGGCCATACTGGGCAGTGTGGGTACAGACCATGTCCACCGTCAGGGCAAGTTCCATCAGACAGTGGTGCTCTGGATAAACAGTAAAATGGTTAATACTTATTCAAGCGAGATAATGAAGTTTGGGCAAAGAGCAGTAAAGGGAATAAAGAGTCCCATGACAGAGGGAAGCTGGGGGGAAAGGGCAGCTCAGCAGAGGTCTCTCTGTAAAGAGGGGACATTTTTGCCAAGATTGTCAGGATGGACTAAATGAGAGCATGCCCAACAAGGGCACAACATGTACAGAGGCCTCTTGGTTGGAAGGATGGCTGACGTGATGGGAATAAAATGAAGGTAGATGGACTAGAGCAGAGTAAGATGCAGGTCAAGGGGAGAGGCTGGACCCAGACCCAGAGGGCCTTGTACATTGCAGTGAGCACACACCCACCTGGGGAGGGTGAGGACACACACATTCACCTGGGGCAGGTGAGAACACACTTGGGGAGGGTGAGAACACACATATACACACTCACCTGGGGCAGGTGGGCCCCTCCAAGGGTTCTGTGAGGAATGGGGCAGTCAACATGGCAGACATTAGGGCCACAGGTGGAAGATAGAGCATGTGAACTGTTTGTTGTCAGACTTTGGAATGACCAGAGACATCTACGAGACCGATTACTACAGGAAAGGGGGCAAGGGCCTGTTGCCCGTGCGGTGGATGGCACCAGAGTCTCTGAAGGATGGGGTCTTTACCACTTCTTCTGACATGTGGTAAGTTGTACATGGGTTGGTGACAGATGCTGGGTCCGAATTCCTGGTGACACTGCTAGTGTGACCAACAAGAGGGGGTAAAGAAAGCCTGCCTTCCTCGTGGGCTCCCTGCCAAGGAAATGAAGTGGTTTCCTATCCAAGGACCCTTCACAGCTACCCTTACTCTTTGAGACTAACCTTAGAGGCATTTTTGATCTGCATTGTGAATTGTTTTATTAACTAGCCAAACAGGTTCTAGCAAACCAAAAAGGTATGTGTGTGTGTATGTGTACACAGGATGTGGGTTTTTTGTTTTTTTTTGAGACAGAGTCTCACTTTGTCACCCTCTGTAGAGTGCAGTGATGTCATAGCTCACAGCAATCTCAAACTCTTGGGCTCAAGTGATGCTCTTGCTTCAGCCTCCTGAGTAGGTGGGACAATAGGCACCCACCACAATGCCTGGCTATGTTTAGAGATGGGGGTCTTGCTCTTGCTCAGACTGGTCTTATACTCATGAGCTTAGGCAATCCACTGCCTTGGCCTCTCAGAGTGCTAGGATTGCAGGTGTGAGCCACTGTGCCTGGCCCACTTGTGGATGTGTTTTAGTGGCTTCTTTGTTACTATTCACAACTGTCATTGGCAGGTCCTTCGGCGTGGTCCTTTGGGAAATCACCAGCTTGGCAGAGCAGCCTTACCAAGGCCTATCTAATGAACAGGTGTTAAAATTTGTCATGGATGGGGGCTACCTGGATCAACCTGACAACTGTCCAGAGAGAGTGTAAGTGCCGAAAGGGTGTAAGTGTGTGAGGTGCTGCTGTGCTAAGGCTTGCCTGCCATGTGTACACTCACATGTGTGTTTGTGCATGCAGGGCGCATCTCCACACACGTGCTTGCATTTGCACATTGCATTGTGTGCTCAGCTGTGTTTGTGTATTGTGTCTATCTGCATGTGTATGTTTACACATCAGACCATTATATGCCCGCCTGTACCCGTGTCTTTGCATGAATTTAGTTTCATATCATGTATCTTAAATGTCTACTTATGCTTGCATATCATTATGCTGTGTGCTTGTGTTTTCATACCAGATGTTCATGTGCACACTTGGGTTTGCAAGTCATGTCTTTATATGTATGTTTTTATTGCATGTTGTATCTTTAGAAGGTTGTAAAAGAAACCACAGCGGTGGTTACCATGGGAGAAGGGAACTGGGGAGCTGGGTTAGGAGAGGAGCCTGTGTTTTAACTGAAACTGTTTATTCTTTTATATACTTAAATTTTGTCAGGTGCATATATTACATGTCCCTCACACCCAGAATATTTTTGTTTTACATTTTTATTACAGAATCAAATGAACAACACATACACACATACCATTAAACATCTGGAAAATTTTTGGAAAACTGTAATATCACTAATGATCTGATAAACATGGAGTGAATAACAGAAAGCATTATCTTCCTGAATTAGAAAACAAAAGGAAAGGAAAATATAAAGAAAGGGAGTTTTGATATGTAGCACAAGTTATGGTATGACTCGAAAATCTTTCTTATCACCTCATGCTTGCTACTCAAAGCAATGTTAGTTAAAGTTGGAACAAAAACCATTGAAAATGATCTAAATATCCAACATATGAGAATTGCTAAGCAGATTGATAAATTAATATGATGTAGCAATTGGAATTTCAGTGATGCTTATGAAATTTTATAATTTGGTGGATAAACTTATGTTGAAATATTAAGTGTCTATTTCATTTCTAAATATGTCCAGGTAGAAAGGACCAAAGGTCACAGCTGAAGGACAGCTGTACATGAGGTGTATTTTTTTCTACATTTGTGTGTGTTTTCTAACTTTCTACAATAAGCATTTATAACATATTGGTGTTTATGAAGAAAAATTTTTGTTCTCCCGAAAGTTCACATAGGGAGGACATTTTAATGCTTTATTGTCCAAAGTATATCAATCAAGAAAACCTACTATGAAGAAATCTTTTATGAACAAAAAGTGTAAAGCACAGTTATTTGGAAACTGAGCAAAATATTCCTAACCATTGCCTCATAAAGTTCCTTCCCTAGCCAAGCCAGTTAGCAGAGAGATTAAGTAGGTGCTAGGGCAGGAGATTGAAACCTTTTTCTGTAAAGAGCTATATTGAAACTAACTTGAGCTTTGTGGGCCATGTGGTTTTCTGTCTGTGCTACTGAACTCTTTGATTATAGGTCAAAGGCAACCACAGATGTTACATAATTGAATGGGTATGACTATGTGCTGATAAAACTTTATTTACAGAAACACTTAGGGGGCCGGGTTTGGTCTGAGGGCTGGAGTTTGGCAACTCCTGCCCTAGAAAAAGTTATAGCAGAGAAGGAGAGGGGTCCAGTTGAAAACAAAAGCTCTCAGTTCTGAGTGTTTTTGGCTGAGTAATGTGGTCACCTGGAGGTTCTGGAGCAGCCCTTGAGGCTGCAGGGGTGGGTCCTATGTGCTGCTAGTCATCAGCAAGTCTTCTTCAGGCAGGTACTATGTGGCTCACTAGGCAGGGACTCCTCCCATGATGAAGCCCCCTTCCACCATCCTCTAGAAAGTGTGGGCTGGACCTGCAAGAGCAGTGGCCAGTTGGAGCAGGGTCTCTATGTCCAGTCCACACAGCTGCACCTGCATTCCCAACACTGAAGGTTCTTTACATCTACAAGAATTGCTGGTGGGCACAGGAAAGCATTTACAAGCAGCCCCAGGTGGGAATGAAACTTTTATGAATTGCACCAAATTGCAGGAGATGTCAGAGGTATCTAAAATGGTAAACTACACTCAGTGCTGCCTGGAACAAAAGAGACAGACAGCCGTTTCCAAAACTATCTTCTGACACCCCTTGAATCGCTCTTTCTGCCTGCACAGTGGCTGCTGCTGTCATCTGGGGGTGCCAGCAGCAGGGGCCTGGGAGGAGTGGGAGGGGCCGAGGCCCAGCCTCACCACTGACACCTCCTGCAGACTTGTCCCTCTGCCCTAGGGCACGGGGGTGGGTGGGTGGGTGGGGAAGGGGCGGGAGAGTGGAAGCGGCCCAGGCTTGAGCTGACGTGTCCCTCTGCCTCCCTCTGCCGTGTCCCTCTGCCGCCCAGCACTGGTGAGGGGGAGGGGCCGGGGCCCAGCCTCGGGCTGACTTGTCCCTCTGCCCCACAGCACGGACCTGATGCGCATGTGCTTCCAGTTCAACCCCAAGATGCGGCCAACCTTTCTGGAGATCGTCAACCTGCTCAAGGACGACCTGCACCCTAGCTTCCCAGACGTTTCCTTCTTCCACAGCGAGGAGAACAAGGCTCCTGAGAGTGAGGAGCTGGAGATGGAGTTTGAGGACATGGAGAGCGTCCCCCTGGACCGGTCCTCACACTGCCAGAGGGAGGAGGCTGGGGGCCGAGAAGGAGGGTCCTCGCTGGGCCTCAAGCGGAACTATGAGGAGCACATCCCCTACACCCACATGAACGGGGGCAAGAGAAACGGGCGGATTCTGGCCTTGCCTCGCTCCAACCCCTCCTAACAGCGCCTCCCGGGTGGGGAAGGGGTCTCATCTTCACTTTCTCTGGTTTGAAAGCCTCCGGAAAGCTCAGGATTCTCACGACTCTGCCACGATGTCAAGCAGAGCTCAGAACACGTCTCTGCTCATCTTAGAACTTCAGGACACACTCATCTGGTTGCCAAATTGACTTGTTGTCAGAGGCTTTAACTCGGGGAGTAGAGGGGAGGGCTTTCCACAGCTGCTACCCTTTTGGCAACGACAGTTTCAAACCAGGATGTGTTCTATTTCTTTTCTTTTTCTAGAAGATTGAAAGAAAGTACCTGTTTTTATAGATTTTTTTTTTTTCTGGTATCTGAGCTGCAGTATAAAAGATAAAACTTCTTTGTGGAACAAAAGTTTGAAAAGAAAAAACAAACAAACAAACACCCACAACCCTGTCCCAGGAGAATTCCAAGCTTTACAGGGTGTGCTTAAGAAGGTTGTTTTTTTTTCTTTTCCTCATCCAGGCTGAAGGATTTTTTTTTTCTTTACAAAATCAGTTCCTCAAATTGACCAACAGCTGCTGCTTTCGTACTTTTGATAAGGGCCTGCAGTCCCGCTGTGTGCCCACATGTGCAACGAGTACGTGTGTGTGTCCAGGGTAGACATGGCTGGTGGGTGTGCATTTGCAAAGTGTTCTGCTGAGTTGAGGCTTTGGGAACCAGATCATGAAGGTTCTCTGTACAGGAGCTCAGGTCCTTTCTCTCCTTCCTTCCTGCCCACTGGGAGACTGTGCCCTCACCAGATTCCTCTTGTGTCAGAAGTCTATCCTCAGGTTTTTCCCTCCCTTCAGGTTAGTGGGGAAAAAATGTTTTCTGGGAGCTGAGGGAGGAACATTTACTTTGGAGTGATTCTGGATCTTTTTAAGACCAAACAAAGCCAGGACATTAAAAAGAAAAAAAGAAAGAAAGAAAGAAAGAAGAAGAAGAAGAAGGAGGAGGAGAGAAGAAAAAGGAAAGGAACAAGGAAAAAAAAAAAACAGAACTGAGATGACATAGAGTTTGAGAATATATTTGTAACATATTTAATTTTTAAAAATTCTCTGGCATTAGCCTCATAAGTTATTGACTATTCCCGGCCGGGGAAAGGGGAGAGTGGCCATGGCCATGAGGTGATCTGCCTGTGTGGGGGGCATTGAGGCACCCATGGCCTCTTTGTTTGGTCTTAAAGGAATCCATTTTCTGGGAACTAAGCCACATTAGCTGCTAACCCTTTTGGATGTTGTGAGGCCACATTGAGCATGTGGGAAACTAGGTTTCGTGGTCTGCATACCAAGGTCTGCTGTTCAGATAAGCCAGAAACTTCCTAGAGCTGAGCCCACCTTCAAGAATACCTGTGTTCCTCCTCTGGTCCTCTGTGTGCGCCTCGCGTAGCCTTTCTTCTCCTTGTGTGCATGCCCCACAACAAAATCAGATCCCAAAGAGTGCACCGTGGATGGGCTTCGAGAACATCTAAGCAATGAAGGGATATGTGCTGAGAATAATACCTCTTGGGCTCAGCCACCCTTGGAGCATCGGACAGTCCTCAGTACCGAACTCCCAGAAGCTGCTGTGGTGTCTGAGGGGAACTCTTAGGATGTTGCAACCCCTGAGAGAGTAGAGTCTGAAGGAGAAGCCATGATGAAAGACCTTCGCACTACGGAGAACTTCTGAGTGGGTGTGAACCTGCAATTTCCTCTCTTTTTGCAAAAAGAACCACAGCTGCTCAAATAAAGAACATGGTGAACTCTTTACTTTGGTTCAGTCAAAATCAACACTCAACGGGTTATTCCTGATGCATTTTCTCACAAGTGTGAGAGCTGATTGTTTCCTTTTCTTAAAAGTTGCGGATTCTGAGAGCAGGATAGAGACATCATGGCAATCTCTGAGCCCTCTCCATTTTTGATTAAGAACACAGGTAGACACAAATACCAATCGTCTGTTGCTATCTTATTTATATAATTTGAGAAATTTCGGCATAGAAAATAACTGCTGAGAGCCTCAGTGATTGGGTACAAGAAACAAGAGTACAGAAATTATTTTTTGCCAAATTTATTTTGTAAATAAATAGGAAGGTCTATACGTAAATGATAAGCCCACGTAGATCTAGGTATTTTATTCTTTTCATAGTAAATTTGTAGTGGCTGTATACTATACTAGCAGCAATTTTCACATTTTTCTAATTCAGAAAGGTTTTCTTATATTGGGGGAAAAGTATTTATTTTAATATATAAAATCACTCAAAATCACTCTCGTAAAAAATGGAGCACATGTTAAATTTCTATCAAAGAGAAATAAACAGGTGAATGTGGGGTAATGATTTTTTTTTTTCAGCACAGTCTACCTCAGTGTATTGTTAGGACATGGCTCAGTAATGGATGTGTTTGAGACTTCAGAATCCTACCTGAGTCCCACTTGAATCAGAGAAATGCGATCAGTTGATTCCGAACGCTAGGGGCCAGGAAGAATTTTGAGTGAGGGAGTCAGATGGAGAAGGTGTTGCCTTTGTATGAGCATAGATCCTTTTTTTCTTGGTTGGTAATATTCTTCTCTGGGTTTAATCTTCCTTTTTTTTTTTAAACTTTAAATCCTCCATCTATTAATACCATCGCCCACAAACGTAGGCCCAGTTTCAGGCTGTCCTGATTACTGACTTCCACTTGATGTCCTTTCTTTCTGTGCATCTCATCTGCTGCAGAGAAAGGGCCAGCATTCTCACTTGTCCCCACTGAGCCCCGGCCCGGGGCTCTCTGATGGTGTATTCCCACTGTTTTTGAGCCAATGATGCTCTTTGGGGGCAGAATGAGTTGCATACATGGGCATCTCACACACACTGAATGCAGTGTCTCCTTTTATTCTCCAAATGGGAAGGGGACATTTTGGGAAATCCCAGTCCCAAACCCAACAAAACCTTGGACCCCCATGTGGAGGTTTGAGTGACCTTAAGCGGAGACTGTTTGACCTTGTGTGACTTTGAGAATCCCCATGAACATCTAGCAGGGCTGTGGTCATACTCACCAGACTTTGGGGCTCTTGTTGTAATTTAAGGCACCGCCCTTGCTGACTCATCCTTCTCCACCTGTCCTGCGGAGAGGGGTAGAGTGTTGGGCCCACCCTGTGCAGATAAGTTTCACTGATTTTATGTAACTGTCTCTACTGCCACAGTGAAAAGAACAAGCAGCCATTGGGTTGCAAGCCTTCTTTGGGATTAGAAAATATTGACTTTGCAACAGTAGAATAGAACTTTTGTCCTAGAAAATCGTGCTTGTCCTGGCAGTTCCAAAAAAAGACAACAAAACCAACTTAAAGTGACAATTTTTGCTGTTTGTTTTTGAAGATGTCTCACTATTGGTAAAATCCTTTTCATTCAAGTGGTGAGATGCATGGAATAGTTTCTTCTTCCTGGAGGAGTATCCCAAACACATCACTTTCCCCCGATCAGTGATGATAAACCGTTTGCATCCTGGGAGCTGACCTATTCCTCTGAAATCTGAGGGAGGAGAAAGCACTGCTGGTTTCTCTGGATATAGGCTAAGAAAAAGATTGAGAAACAATGTAGGAATTGACACAAAGGCCAGCACATCCATTCCTGGGGCCAACTGATGGACAGACGTTTGGCTGTATCCTGCCTGGGCAGGTGGCCAACCATGAAGCATGCTTATTGAATAGTGAAGGGTTTATTTGCTATAACACTAGTCAATGCCATTAAGGCATAACATGTGCTGATTGTCTTGGTAAACGAATGAATGTTCAATGGTCCCAACAACAAATCATTTTTCTACTTCATGGTGGGTGGACGTTTAAAGTTAAATGTCCTTTAGATGCCACCTGGTGAGTCCTTCACATCTTAGGTTTTTCAGAAATTGTGGTTTTATTGGGGATGGGGAATAGGAACTGCTGATTTTATTTAAAGGGTGCATGTAGAGCGGTGTCATTTCGGAAAATCTTCAAGAATGTTCTTCAGAATATTAATTTATACCAGAAGTGAGGCTGGGAATGAAAAGAACTGGTGAGCACTTATTTTTTTTGGAGCACACAAAAGAATATGATGGGCTCTGGAGGCTGACACTGAAGGTGAATTTTTCCTTAGAGGTTCCCAAGAGACAGAGGGAAACTGGCTGTTTGAGCTGTCACCTCCTGATAGCCCTCAAGGTCCATAACCAGCATCCAGCCACATTTTTATCTAGGTGTGGGCCACAAAAATCCTTGTTAAAAACCAGGTCATGAATCTGGGGTTGGACCCCATTTGTGAAGGAAGGAATAGTGCCCTTCTCCCCCTGCCCCCCAAAATGAGTGACCTCTGTGCACATACTCACAAACGGCTCGTGTCAAAGTTGCTCCTCGCACCTGTGTGCCTGGGCGGCCTTGGCTCTGTGTGATACCAGGGCAGGATCGGATGTGCTGCCATTTTACAGAAAACAACTCAGAAACACAAAAACCCACCAAAAGCTCAATTATTTTTTTCAATGTTTTCCTATTAGAGCCAAGTAGTACCATGTACAGAATATGCCTTTTTTTTGAATAATGAAATTGTTCTGCATGTAAAATATGAGATAATTACCTGTTTATATTAAAATCCTGATTAAATTATCTGCGAATACTATTGTTTTTGTGTGGCATCCAGGCAGGGACTTGGAGTACATGTGGAGGTACAGGTATGGGCTGGGCTATGTTAAAGGGAAACCTTTTGGAAACTGTGAGCACCTATTTTGAGACAGAACAAACCCGTAGGTTCTTTAGAACATGAAACTGGAGGCTCAATGGTTGCTCCCAGCAGAGCTGAGGTTCACAGGTATATTATCTGTGCAGCCAAATGGACACTTTAAATATTTCACTATTTGTATACCAGGTGGGAAGTGACTGCTTCTCGATGGGTTCCCAGACACCCCATGGTCCAGTCACTAAGGGGCTCACTCCAGTGATCCCAGTGGATCTCCAATAGCTTGCTCTACTCCACCATGTTGGGAACTTAGATGTTAAACATTTCCAATGTCAGCCTGGAAGTGAAGACTTGTCCCCAAGTTGAACGGGCAGGTGAGTGGCCAGGGGCAGACCACGGATTCAAAGGGCTTTGAACAGCCTTCCCTGAGCTGAACATGAGGTATAGTGGGTAAGAAGACAGACTCCACACCTTTGTGTGCCTTGTGCTTTTTTTTTTTTTTTTTTTTTTTGAGACTGAGTCTCTGTTGTCCAGGCTAGAAGGCAGGGACATTGTCATAGCTGGCAGTTACCTCAAACTCCTGGGTTCAAAAAATCCTCTCCCTTAGTCTCCCAAGTAGCTGGGACTACAGGCACCTGCCACAACCCCTGGCTAACTTTTTCTGTTTTTGGTAGAGACAGGTCTTACCAAATCTCAGGCTGGTCTTGAATTCCTGAGCTCAAGTGATCGTCTTTCCTCAGCCTCCCAGAGTGGTGGGATTACAGGCATGAGCCACTACATCTGATCTACCTCATGTGGTTTTTGTGTTTTTTTTTTTTTTTTTTTTTTTTTGGCCGGGGCAGGGTTTGACCCTGCCACCTCTAGCAAATGGGGCCGGTGCCCTACTTCTTTGAGCTATAGGCGCCGCCCCCTTCATGTACTAGTTTTTGCTGTATAACAAATGGCCTCAGAACTTAGTGGCTTAAAATGGTAACCATTTATTCTTACGGTTCTGTGTATTCACTAGGTGGTTTTTCTGGCCAGAGCCTCACTGCTGTGTCTGAGGTCTCTGCTGGAGCGGCCAGGCTTGGTCATTTTCCAGGAGGCTAGCTCAGGTTTGTACACATGATGGGGGAGGCAGTGTGCCCAGCAGGAAGAGACAGCAAGTCCCAATATGGAGACACTTTCCAAACTTCTGCTTTCTGTGGCGTTTCCTGCATCCCCTGCCTTGAAGTAAGTCACATGCCATAGCTAGAGTCAGCTCGAGAGAGGACCAACCGAGGGTGCAGGTGCAGACATGAGAAGTACAGCAAGAGGGGCCAGTGCTGCTGTGAAGTGTCTACACTTCTCACTTTACCCTTCTGTTATTGAAGGCAATAGGACTTCTTCCATATGACCACAGTGATAAATGAGGTAACGGTGATTTTCCACCTTCCCTAGCATGACCTTCACATGCCCCAAAGTTCTCCATTCTCTGAGAAATCGATGCCATCGCTAATTAGCAGGGGTGGCAGCCTGAACCATGCCTTCCTGGGTTTGTGAAATTCAATATATGCCTGAGGGAAATGGAAAAAGTTTTCCTAAGGAAAGATTTCTCAAAGGATGCTTTAGACTGCCATTTATACAGAGTGTGTCGGGCCCTGGCCTGAGTTTCAAGAATCTGCCACTAGGCTCCTGGGACGTCCTCCTGGGACTTGGGTCTCACAGAGGTGGCTAAATAGACCCTGCGTGTCAGTGCCTCTGGGTGTCTCTGCAGGCAAAACTTAGGCAAAAGCCTGCCCCTCACTGCCATGGTGTGTCTGCGTAGGCCACACTCAGGCTGGAGCCTGCCCCTCAGTGCCATGGTGTGTCTGCGTAGGCCACATTCAGGCCTCAGCCTGCCCCTCAGTGCCAC